CTTTTTCTAGAATATAAATCTGGGGCATACCATGAAACAGACACCCGGCCTATCCATCTTCATGAAAGTGTTAAAAAGGAGGAGAGAGGATAGAGGAGAGCAAGAACTAAATACATCCCGTTTATCCTGCTTGCCACTCTCAGGATCAGTGCCGTCAAGATACTTCCAAGGGGATTTATATTTTGCTTTTTTCTTTAGGTATTTGGTTCATGTTGGGGAAGGGGTTGGGTGTGTCTGAAGCAGAAAAAAAAAACCAAAATAACAAAACCAAACCAGAATAACAAGGCAGAAAGAACTGTGCAAATCACTGTGCTGGTGCAAGATGCTTCCCTAACACAACAGCTGCACACTGAGATTTTTGGGTTGTTGACACCCGAAGTCTAACTCAGCCTGAGCACAGATGACTCCACGGCCTTTCATTGCGCAACTGAGACAAGCTGGGTTTTCAGGGGTCTGAATACCCCCAAAACACCATGAACTACTTCTGTAGCTTAACAGGCACAAAATGCTATCTAAAAACCAATGCGCTGTAGAGCTATGTTTGTTTTAGAGAGCTGTGAATCTCCACAAGACCATTTTAGGCAATCACAAACTTAAAAATGTTGAAAATGATTGTCCTAAAGGTCTAAGCGGATTTAAGTCTAATGCATAAAATTATCTTGTCTTAATTAATACTCACCTAAATCCCCAAGTATCCCACATGAACTCAATAATTAATTCAAAAGTCAGCATTTTCAAACTTGTCTCTTAAAGGCAGACATATAACTGAAGTAAGAACTGAGAAGCCGTAAATGCCCAACTTCACCTAACTCCCCACTCAAGACGTGCCAATTCTTGCCCTAGCTTCAAGTCCTAATATACTAAATGCCCTTTTTAAAGCATCAGCTCAACATGTGATTATATGAAATTCCCAGCCTCCATTAAAAAGATTTTTAAAGGTGCAGACATGTGAAAGTCAGATTTTCATGAGCACCAGGTGTTTAATTTCCAGTAATTCAATAAGCCATATATGTTTTTTGAAATCTTATTCTATGGGCAGGTGTACTGTAACTAAAAATTCTTTGTGACTTAAGGTTGTGTAGTGAAAATAGTTGATTACTGCTCCTGACCGATTACTGCTTCTATACTTATCCACCTCTGCAAATGGAAACATGAACATCTGGACAACATCTGCTGACTGGATGTGGCACCATTCTTGGTCTCATCCTGGGCGCCTGGCCAGTGTTCAGGGTGGGATTGATAATAGGAGCATAACACACGATTTGTGCCAAAAAGACTTAGGTGTTTGTGACTTGCTATAAAAGCGGGAGACCCCCAGGCTGACTCCTGAAGCCTCACTTATGGGTGGACACACCGCGTAGGACTTCCCCAGTTACCGAAGTTCTCCAGGGGCCAGCTGCCGAGGGGTTTCCCAGCTGAACTGTGAACACAAATGATGGTTTTGAGGTGGTAATTGGTGATGTATCCCTGTCTTAATCACTTTACAGTAGTGAACTGGTGTGTCGCTGTTCTGCTTATCTTTCCTTTCTAATTGGTGCATCGTTATTCTGCTTTTGTTTTCTTTTTGGTTGTTGCTATGATATATATAGAGAATAAAACATATTAATTGTTATATATTAAGCTGGAGTCTGTATTTTTACCTGGAATCCCACCATTCAGCAAGACAGGTTGCGAATTTGTTCCAGAACAAACTTGTGAGAATAGAAGACTAAAGGCTAACAAAGACAGGCAGCATGGCTAAAATACAGCCAAGATGGCTAAACCATGGTATTTAATTTGTGTTCAGGAGCTCAAACTAAATTGTGGGCACTTCAGCTCTCATTTTAATGGCCCAGAATTAGTGCTTCTGTTTACCTAATTAGAAACTTGATGCCCAGGTGATGTCTGGGTCTCTGCCTGAGAACATTGTGCCATTCTGAAAGTTCTGTAATTCCTCACATGTGCATTCTCCAAAAATCCTGCTTCTTAAAGAGACAGCATATTGGGACGTCTGGTTTTTAAGGCATCTAAAATTACCAGTTTCCTGAAAATATGTTTTCTATGTGTGTCTCCATTGAGGCATACCATCTAGTCATCTTGAAGTTACTGCATGTTTTATGAGTTTAGCTATGTCTTTGGTATAATACACCATCATAGAATCACAGAATGGTTTGGGTTGGAAGGGATTTTAAAGATCATCTTTAGTCCCAACCCCCTGCCATGGGCAGGGACACCTTCCACTAGACCAGGTCATCCTCAGTATTTCAGTATAAGATGTTGGTCAGACACCTTTCCAAAGAGAAGGCACGCACAAGTAGATTTTAAATCACCTTTAAGGGCAACTACCAAGAATAAGAATGAAAGCAGCCTGCTTGGTTCTTTACAGCTGGAGCAAGTTCCGCTATCAATTCTGCTGAAGTCATGACCATGAATAGTAGTGGGATATTTTAGTTTCTTTACTATAGACAGAAAGAATATATACTGCAACCATGAATGACTAAGACTTTTTTTCATCCAAACCGTTAAAGAATTAAGAACTCCAAGCATTCCCTTTTTGCTGAACATCGTATGTCACTCTTCTTTTCATCTTAAACTTTTACTGAATAAAAACAATACTAATCTTCACTTTATCTCAAATAACTGACATAAAAATGTTAAAGAAACAATAAAATTTGAGGAACCAACTAGTACTACTTGAAGATGCATGAAGATGAATAAGTACACCAGAAAAGACACATTTGACACGTTCTGTGCTCAGCTCACTACATAGCAGCATTTCAGAAATTTAATTCTGGACTTCAATTGCATCATGTTATACCCTAGCTAGCCTATATATCCTGCTCAGTAATTTGATATTGCTGGTTTGTCTTTATAAACCAAAGACAAGCTAAATTGAATGCTGCTAACAAGCACTGGTGATAAAGCTTGTATTTGATTTCCTTAGAAAGATTGTGTGTACATCATGGAGGTATTTGCACACTTGATGACGAAGGCACTTACACTGCTGTGTAGTCCATGGCTAAATAACTCAGAATCAGAGAGTCATGGAACACTTAAGTTTAGAAAGTACCTCTGGAGATTGCCTAGTCCAACCCTTCTGCTCAAAGCAGGGTCAACAAGATCAAGTTGCCCAGGGCTGTGTGCAGTCAAATTCTGCCAAGGACATAGACTCCACCATCCTGGTGGGAAACCTATTCTAGCATCTGACCACCCTCACAGTGAAAAAGCTTTGTATGTTCAGATGGAAACTCTTGTATTTCGGTTTGTGCCCACTGCTTCTTGTCCTGCCAATGGGCATAGGTGAGAAGAGTCTGATTTCTGCTTCTTTCGCTACCACCCCCTCATCAGGTATTTATACTTAGTGAAGAGATCCTCCCTGAGCCTCCTATTCTCTAGGCTAGACAATTCCAGCTCTCTCAGCCCCCTCTCATATGATATGCCCCAATCTTTTAATCATCTCTGTGGCCCTTCACCAGACTCACTTCAGTATGTCCATGTATCCCTTGTACTGGGGAGTCCAGAAACAGGACACAGCGCTCCAGAAGTGGCCTCACGAGTTATTGAACAGAGGGGAATAATCACCTCCCTTGATCTGCTGAATGCTGGTGACCACCTTTTCTGCAAGTGCGCGTTGCTGGCTGATGTTCAACTTGGTGTTTACCAGAACCCCTGTGTCCTTTTCTGCCTTCAAAGATGAACAACAGTGGCCTCACAACGACATGGGCCAGTTCCGTCAGCTCTTGGAAGCGCACCCCTGTTGGATGCCATGCACTTGTGTATGTCCCATTTGTTGAAATATTTGCTAACCTGATCCTCTTCTACCAAGGGTAAGTCTTCGCTGCTCCAGACTTTCCCATAGGTCTCAGGGCCTGAGATTCTTGAGGGCAAATCTTACCCATAAACTGAGGTGAAAACAATGTTGTGTAACTTAGCCTTTTCCATGTTCTGTGTCACCAGGTCACTAGTCAGCCCTGCTTTTCCTCACCTGCCTTTTGCAGCTGATATGTCTATAGAAGCCTTTTTCATTTCCCCTTGTGTGCCTCATCAGATTCAACTCCAGGTGGACACTGGAGTGTGTTCAACTCCTGTGCACTTGGACAATGTCTCCATCGTTCACGTGGGTCACTTGATCCTGTTCCCACCTCCTGAGGTATTAGTTCTTTATATCATTTGAACCAAAAACCTTTCAAATGATGAAAAGATTTCCTTTAGGGAGGTGTCCACACCCTCTGTCAAAGCTGAGCTGCTGTGCAGACAAGATCCCAGGAAACGAGTCAAGACAGGAAGCAGACAACAGTGAGCCTACGTGGACCTAAGGGATAAGGGTGCCTGGCTGGCAAGGGGCAGCGCTGGGCTTTTACAGCACCAAATACAAGCACACCACATGATCTGAAGAGAAATTCAGAGGCAGAAAGGGAAGAGAGCAGATGGTAAGTCCTGTGGAGTGACACTGAAATCCGGTATCTCATTGTCAGGGTGAAATGGCACAAACGGAGGATCTCTGGAATATGTCACTACAGAGAGAGGCCTGCTAGCTGACAAAGTAACAGGGTTGGAAAGCTTCAAAGAAGCACAGAATATTCCAATAGAGGAGCAAAAGAAGAATCTATGACATTGGAATGAACCACATGACATTAAAAAGAGGGGAGCAGATAAAAGGACTGCAAAAGCCACTTAAAGCAGCTGGTTAGCAAGGAGGAAAAAAGGAGATCTGGATATGTTTTCAAATAAAAACATATAAGCCAATTCTCAGTCAGTACAAACTGACATAATTCCATTACTATCAGTCACTTAACAGGTTTTTTACACCAGCGACGTTCACTGCTGTGAATTGACCCAGGAGGCTCACAGGGATGAAACACACAACTGAAGATTTACCTGCACAAGGGTTGCAGGCTCAGACCCAGCGTAAAGCACCTCGGTTTGTTTGAAGCAACTATGTTTAATTTTCTAACCACGTTTCTCTTTCTGGCTTCTAACTTTCACCATACTGCCCCCACCCCTTTACAACAACCACCTACCTTTTTTAATTCTTCCTGAATGCTTCCGCTGTTCTCCTCCGAGGACAAACTCTCCTTCTGGTTTTCAGGGTCTGTTCTAGGTTCTGACTCCTCGTCTTCACCAGATGATGTTTCCTTGTCACTCATTTTAGCAGCAAGCTGAAATAACCTGGATTTAAGCTCCTCCTCCATAAGGTCAGGCTTGATATTATGATGGTGATCCTCACTGCTTATATCCGTTTCTGACAAATCCTCGAAGTCCTACAAAACAATCACAAGGTGTAACTACTGGATAGGCACAGAAAGAAAACCAACCAGCTTCCTAGAAAAGTAAAGGTATGATCACTCTGCAGGGAAGCTAGAAAGAAAGCACACTAAGTGTGCTGATAAAAAATAACTTGTCTTTACAGAGGAATGCCAGTAAACCCACACCTGTTGGGCTTCTCATTCCTGCTTGGTTTTGTATTACATAGAGAGGAACTACCAAAATAATTATGTATCTGCATGCAACTAATGAAATAAAATGCCTAAATGGCAACCCCCATTCCCAGCACTTCACTGCCATCACTCTCGGGCACGGCGCAGATGAAGGGCAGTGTGGGAACAAAACACCTTGTCACCTGGCAGTTTTGTCCAGTTTTCGGTTGAAAGCTGCACTGGAGATCCCTGGCTGCTTGGTCTTGAGCAATATCTGTTTTTTTCCTAATGACTATTGGAAACAAGCTTTGAAAAAACCTTTCTTTCATTGCAGCGTGGTGCTCCACATTTTCAGCTTTCCCAGTTATTATTTACATAGGTGGATCCTCTACTGCGATGATTATTTTCCAAACACCAACCTCCTTGGAATAGGTTCAATCTTTAGGAGCACCTTCTTTTCTTACTCTTGGATCCTTCAAGGTGGGAAGTACTTGGAGGCTCAGTTAAGTACAGTGGGTGTCACAGACTCGACCACAAGTTGGAGGCTCAACAGAAGGAAAGCAAAATCTTCTTACAAGTCTGTGTAGTAGGGTGCCTGCCCAACATGTGGAAAGGGGGATATTTTTGTCAGCCCTTGCAGGAAATCTGAAAATATCTCACGATTGTTCCAAAAACTAACATCCAGATTTTCTGGATCTGTGTTATCTGATTAGGATCCAATTCCCTCTGATTTCCACTACAGTCCACGGAAAGAGACAGGCTCCCAGAGCAACCTGCTCCACCTATAGCATGAACTGCCTTCTGGAAATGTTCTTCTCACCCTGCTCACTGCTACGAGAAAGCTTTGAATCATTAAACGCTTTGATTAGTGCTCCAGTCAAGTCCGTAAAGCAAGGTAGAATTACATGGTTTTAGAAGTGATGAATTCATTGAAACGGAGCATAATCATGTCAAAACCACCCAGAAGGAGGCTCTGAAGAACGCAGCCTGGGACCAGAAGGGGTAGGCACATCACAGCGGGCCTAAGAGGATGTTTTGGAGCAATTCTTAGATAGGAAATTATTCCTATTGGCCTTACAGTCTCCTACCATGAAAGGACCACGGAGATGATCAGAGGGCTGGAGCCGCTCTCCTATGACAAAAGGCTGCGAGAACTGGGCTTGTTCAGCCTGGAGAAGAGGAGGCTCCGAGGAGACCTCATTGCAGCTTTCCAGTATCTGAAGGGGGCCTACAAGGGTGCTGGGAGAGGACTTTTTACAAAGGCCTGTAGTGATAGGACAAGGGGTAACAGGTACAAATTGAAATCAGGGAGGTTTAGATTAGATGTCAGGAAGAAATTCTTCCCACAGAGGGTGGTGAGGCACTGGGACAGGTGGCCCAGAGAAGCTGTGGATGCCCCATCCCTGGAAGCGTTCAAGGCCAGGCTGGATGAGGCTTGGAGCAACCTGGTCTAGTGGAAGGTGTCCCTGCCCATGGCAGGGGGGTTGGAACTGGATGGGCTTTAAGGTCCCTTTCAACCCAAACCATTCTATGATTCTATGATTCTATGACAAGATACTGCTGGAGGGACGAAAAGCTGTGTTCTCTCTGCCATTCATTTGGAAATACATAAACAGGAGATTTGCTCTGCACAGCTACTCTCTCCGCAGCCGCAGCAGCAGTATTTATGGATGGACCAATTACCTCTGGCTCTCACAGAAGACGTCAAGCCTGACAACTC